GTAGGACCCAAGGTCAGCTCCGTGGCTTCACTCATTCTTCCGGTCTCAGACCTGCCTCTGTTTCACACCGGAAAGAGGTGGTCTTGGACCAGCCCAACCTGGAAGTTTTCCTGGACCCGGAATGTTCGCCTCCCACACTGTGTTGATTCTATCTCCTCAGTCAATTTTGGCTTTGGGAGAAGCCCAGACTGAAGCCTATACCTCAAGATAACTCAGCGCCCCTGTGCTGCCCACCCCCAGGGCCGATCCAAGGCCTCTTCATTAAAGGAGCCACAGAGCCTTGGGGGCCCCTAAACACCCAGCCACAATACCATACGTGAGTCTCCGTGAACGCAGACCCCTCCCTGAAGCCGGCAGCGGATTCAGTCCCTCTGTGAAGTACTCACAATGGCCATAACTTCCTTGAAAATAATGTCATTTCTTTTTTTAATCCTTTTTTTAAAAAAATTTTTGTCATGATGTTTTGTTTTTTGTTAAAGGATGAACGATAGCTCCTGGTAAACCTGGTGACCCCTGGATCTGTCTCCATATCTCAGCAATCTGTTCCACAGTCCATCAAAGAGACGGGGGAGGCAGTAATGATGCTTTTATTAGCAACCTTTACACTTTGTCAAAATTAAAATGAAAACTCGACATTCATATGTAAATCCAGTTACCTTCTGGGTTCCTCTTATCCTTTATCCCTTTCACGAAATTACAGATTATTAAGAAATGTTTGAAGAGTTGGAGACAGGCTTCAGGGAGGGTGAGGGAGGCAGAGCGAGACAAAGAGGGTAGAGAAGGCAAGGTGCTTTGACCTTGACCTTCTCTTTCGTGCTCTGAAGCCTCACAGCCCATGGTTTTATTGCTCATCCATTGTCCGAGACATCCCACCTCTGGAGGAATCCACCTCTCAGGTGACTCATGCATCAAGGCTCACCAGGACCCACAGCCTGCAGAGGCGCAGCACAAAGATGTGACTGTTAAAAGCTCCTGTTGACAAATACTCCTCCTTGATGATGAACTATTTATAGCACAAGATGACCATTAATGCTGATTGCAGGAGGAGCCCTTGTTTAAAATCACAAAGCCGAATTTGAGATGTGAGAATGGAAAAATTAAAAAGAAAAAAAGGAGGCTCCTGGGTGGCTCAGTCGGTGAAGCCTTTGACTTCAGCTCAGGTCGTGATCTCACTGTTCGTGGGTTTGAGCCCCGCATTGGGCTCTGTGCTGACAGCTCAGAGCCTGGAGCTGCTTTAGATTCTGTCTCCTTCTCTCTCAAAAATAAATAAACATTGAAAACAAATTTTTAAAAAAGAATCCACACAGGGAAAGCTCTCTGAAGCACTACCACATATCTTTCTCAGACATGAACTGAGAGTGGCAACTTCACACTAGTGAACAACATATTGTCATGAGGTGCTGAAGCATGGGGGGCGGAGGACTCATTCTCCCCCAGGCTCATCCTGGATGGTTTCGAAGAGGAGGTGCCATTTATGGATAGGACTGTGGCTGACCGACCCTTCAAGTGGCCCTGTGTGATGCACACCTCTTACCGTTCACACTAGGAGTGTTGCTGACACTGCGGCTTGCTTCTAGAGCAGAGAATACGGTCGTGCTGATGGGAATATTGCGTGCATGTGATTTCATGACTGTTACAGAAGACTACATCGTGCGTCTTGCTGGGGTCCTTCTCCCTCGCTTGCCGGTGGAGGGAGCGAACAGCCACATCGGGGAACTCCATGCAAAAGGGCTGCAGGCAGCCTCTAGAAACTGAAGAGAGCCTCCAGCTGATAGCAAAAAACTGAAGCTCTCAGTTCATCAACACCAAGCAACTAAATCTTGCCAGTAATGCACCAGCGGAGACGAAGATGCCATCGCCGGTGAGGCCCCCGCCCAATGCACGCCTCGACTGAACCCTGAAAAGACTCTCAGCTCAGTCATGCTGTCTTCCGACTCACAGAGAGCCGTGCGATAGTCAATATGCAGTGCGTTGTGCGAGGACACTGTATCTCTAGTTGTTTCTTGTGGAGCAAGAGAAAATTAATACAGGGATGCTGGCGAAGGAGCAGGAATTCGCAAATTACAGGGGGCGGAGGAAATTTCAGGCAAAGGGACTAGGTGTGCTATTACCATAGAGCAATGACATAGTGTTAAGAAAGTACAGGCTTTGCTCCAAGGAAGGTATGGGTTTCAGCACCCCCGCAGTAGGAAAGTGGGTGGGAGGCGGAAGGTAAGAGGGGAACTCCAGGAAAAGAAATAAAAATATTAACCTCAAGGCCAGTTTCCTGAATGTGTCCTCCTCACATCTAATCCTCCTGGGAAGTTGTATGAATCCCAACCCCCCACCCTCACACCCCGAGATTCCTCCTCCCTGTACCTGGAATGGGGCAGAGGTATCTGTAGCTCCAAGAAATGCCCCATCGGTTCTGATGCGGCCAGTCCACAGCCCAGGGTCGGGACCACTTCATCATCGTGAAACATCCCAGAAGTCAGTGCAAGAGTGACCTGGGAAGTTTACTTTCTGCAGGACTAGCCCAGAAGCAGTCAGCAGGATGTCTGCGGGGGTGGGGGTGGGGGGGCTGGGCGGGCAGGGGTCACCACCTAGACCGTTCTGCTGGGGCGTGGCTGGGAACTGGAGAGAACTGCTTACAAGGGAGAGGGAGGGAGGGCCCCTGGTGGATCTGGTGATGAGCTGTATGTAAGCCGTCAAGAAAAGAGAGATATTAGAAGGATGGGAGGGAGGGAGGGAGGGAGGGGAGGAGAAAGGAAGGGAGGGAGAGAGAGGAAGGAAAGGAGGGAAAGGGGAAAGGAGGGAGGGAGGAGGGGAGGGAGAAGGAAGGAAGGAAGGGAGAGGAAGGGAGGGAGAGATGTGGGAGAATGGCCTCAATGAGCTGCGTTCTGCAAGCTCAATCTTGGTTGACCCTCGAGGTCCCACTAACTGGGCCTCTGGAGCCTTGCGTGTTGACCTTGGCTCCCTCTGTGCTGGGAACAGCCAGTGGTCCAGTCTCCAGATTTCCAGAGCGTATAATCCTCTCCACACGGAGGCCATTTACAGAGAAAACTGCTAAACCCCAATCCTCACTGCCAGTGGGACAGTGGCTACTTGGCCATTTCAGTCCTACATCGCCAGGGTGTTCAACTTCAGAGGTGGTGGAATAGGACAGCGTCAGAGAACCCTGAGCAGGGCTGGCCCACCCCCCTGAGAGCCACCAGTCCGAATGGACGGTTCCCGGCCCCTGTCCCTGGAGCCTGATGGCGTCACAGGGTTTGGATGTCAGGGATGCATTCATTCACATAGAATGTGCCTCACCTTCCCAGGCCAGGGGCTACTGCACCAAACAAGACAGAGGGGCCCCCATTCGTCAGAGCACCTTCTCTGTCCCCTGAGAGTAGTTTCCAGGGGTGGAGGAGGCTGCAGGAGACGAAGCTATGTACCTTCTTGGTCCCCACCATGTCTGTTCCTTCCAGACTGCCTCTGGCCAGGACTGTGTGTTCCAAAGTAGGTTCCGTGGAACCCTGTTTCTTTGGGGTGCAAGTGAAGGTCAGACCTTCAGAGAGGAGACTTGGCAACAGTAGATAACATGTATGTAGCACTCACCACATGCCAAGCACTGTTCTAAGCACATGATGATATTAACCCAATATCCTGCCAACCAGCATGATCCTTACTTTCTACATGGGGAGGCCTCTCTACAAGGCAGAGAGGGTAAGCTGCTCCTGAAGCTCAGGGATGGAGCTGATATTTAAACCCAGGGATCGAGATCAGGTGTGAGCCTTCCCCACCGTGGGTCGCCAGTTCTACGATGGTCAAATGAGCCAGAAGGACCCTGGTTTTAAAAACCAGAGTCACGCCACACATGTCCCTGCTAAGCAGATTTTCAAGTGCTTGTTGCCCACTCAGTACTCTTCTTTTGTGAAGAATCCGTTCAAACATTTTGCACCTTTTTGTTGAGTTATCTTTTTATTATTGACTCATGGGGGATATTTATATATGCTGGCAACCATCCCTTTGCAGAGATTATATGTATTGCAAATGTTTTTGCTTTCATTTTCTTCATAAGCCTGTCGATTTTCTTCATAAGCAGCCGTATTTCATTTTGACGAAGACCAACTTATCAATTTCTAAAATACTTAATACTTTCAGTGTCCTCTTAGAAAATATTTTCCTACTTGTTGGGATGAGCGCTGGGAGTTGTTTGGAAACCAATTTGGCATAAACTATATTAAAAAAAAAGAAAAGAAAATATTTTCCTGTCCCTAAGGTGGCAATAATAATCCTCTATATTTTCTTTATAGTTCTACCTTTTATGTTTAGAACGGTAATCCACCAAGATACATGATTTTCCATGTGGGTATTTAACAATTTCAGCACCATGTTTTGAAAAGAGTTTTCTGTTAAATTGCTTTGGTGTGTCTGCTACAAATCAGCTGAACTTATCACTGTGAATCTATTTCTAAGTCGTATTCTGATCATCGTCACATGTGTCTGTCTTCATATTGACACCACGCTGTTTTGATTGCTGTAGCTTTTACTACTTATCAGATAAATTAAAATTAATACCATGTATGGGACACAGCCATATGCCCATGAGAGTGGTGAAAACTAAAAACACTGACAATACCAAATGCTGGCGAAGATGTTGAATAACCAGAACTTTATTCATTGCTGGGGCAGAATGTACTTTAGACAACTGTTTGCTAGTTTCATATAAAGTGAAAGTTACACTCACCCCTTGACACAGCAATTCCACTCCCAGATGTAGAAATGAAATCGGAAGCTCATGAATATTCACAGTGGCTTTACTTGTAATAGCCAAATCTGGAAACAGCCCAAGTGTCCCTCATTAGGTACACGAATGAACTGTGCTAAATCCATACAATGAAATTCTATCCCTTAATAAAAAGGAACAAAGTGTGAGTAAATACCACTACATGGTGAGCCTCAAAGACCTCATAATGAGTCACAATGGAGTGTCAATATCATTCCATTACAGGAAGTTCTAGAATGATCCAAGTTAATCTATGGTGGAAGACATTTTATTGTCAGTGGAGGGATGACTGGCCAGCAGCAAGAAGAGCTCCCTGAGATGAAGGTATTTTCTCTAACTTCATGAAATATGGGTTACACAGATTTCTGCATCTGTAGAAACTTACCAAACTCTGCATTTTACCCCAATGCAAAAATTAGCACAAAGTCGAAGATGTTTAAAATGTACAAGAGGAAAAAAGGAAACAGAACAGGGTTCTTTCTTCTCGCACGGCATTTAGGACTGTTAAAGCAAGCTGTGCATCCCTAGAAAGGGCCAGCGCCCACAGAGCACTCCCAGTTTTACACTGGCCATTGCTGTGGGTTGCTGTGTCTCCCAAAATTCATATGTTGACTTCCTAACCCCAGCACCGCATAGAGTGACTTTATTTGGAACTAGGGTCATTGCAAATGTGATTAGGTAAGATAAGTTCTACTGGAGGAGAGAGGGCCCCTGATCCAAGGTGACCGGTATCCTTAGGAAGAGATAATTTGCACACAGGCATGCGCACAGGGAGCACCCTATGCATAGAGTAGAGTTAAGTTGCTCTGAGCCAAGAAACCACCAGAAATTAGGAGAGGGGCTGGGAACACACGCTTCCCTAGAGCCTAGAGCCTTCAGAGTGAGCGTGGCCCTCCTGACATCCCCATCCCAGACTTCCAGGCTCCAGAATCTCAGAGAATAGATTTTCTGTTGTTTAAGCCGCTTGGTCGCTGCTATATGCAGCCCAAGCAAACATACAGCCACAGAACCATTTCTTTCCCTTGGCGTGTCTGTGGTAACCAACTCTACATAATGTCCCTTGTTCTAGGAAACAACTCACTTACTCATCTTTCTTTTTCCCAGGGATACTGGCCTCTACTTGACAGGAAGCTGCTGCACTCACATACGTGAAGAGTCGCCAAAATGATAGATGCCCTGACCTGCCTGCAGCATAAACAGAGAATGTCCCCATGAACTTTGCCATTTTATCTGCAAAGTCTAAAAACTAAATTCGTTGCTCCCATTTTGTAGATGAGGCAAGTAAGCCCATGCCGCTCCTGCTCTGCACCTGACCCTGTCCTCAGTTCCCCTGGGGCTATTCCTGACTCATCCTGGTGGGGAGGAGGAAAGACAGCGAGGAGACAAGGGTCTAGGGGTCCCCTCGAAACACAGGCAACGGCAGCTGCTCCTTCAGTGTGGTGTACCCACACGTCTCTTCTCCCACCGTCCAGCCTCTCCACAGCCTCGCCCCTGTTCGAGGCTGAGCCCCTGTCATGCAGGGGTGACCTGGAGCCAGGTTCAGAAAATGAAAGGCCATTTCATAATCTTCTCCAAGATGGGTTAAGCAGCGTGATCCCTCATTACCCATTGACGGAAATGGGAAATGCGGAATAACTAGTTTCAGCCGATTCTGCTTTGCGATATATCTCCTTTTTAACTGAGATAATAACAGAGAAGCAGGCATTCGTGAGGCTTAGTAAAGAAGGCGCAGATTAACACCACAGTCAGATGACTTTTGAAGCAAAGCTTCTATTAAAGTCGCTGCCAAAAAGTCACTTTATCTTCCCTCCGATGCATTTCAGATTTTATCTACCCTTTTATTCTTTTTGTCCTTAATTTTAAATCTTTTTATTATTATTTTTTCCCCATGTAAGCACCAAGGGAGTTGTTTGGAACTCATTCTTTTGGAAGCAATTATCCACAAGAGAGGCGTTCACTTCATTTGGGCTGCATTTTATATCCAAACCATGATAAAAATGCACAAAATTGACTTTGCCTGTGTAGCTCAGACACTGGAAAGTCCTTCACAGTGAATTTTGAGTCAGCTGCCTGTTGATGGAGCCCATCTCCGCAGGAAGGCCAGGGGAGTGGTCATCATTTCTACCAAGTCCTTTCCTGTGGCCATACGATTATCTCCTTGCAGCCTAGTAGGGCAAATAAAACACTTTCATTTAATTGTCCATTAATTAGACCTTGTAGACCCCATGCTGTCTTTAAATTCTAGCTTGGTCTACACAAGAATATCTCTTACCCCTAGAGTTGCAAAATCTCACCTCTAGAGCCTGAACATTTTTTCAAAGATGAGCCCCTCACACCCACAGCAGGGGTGGGATCGGGGTGGTTCAGCACCCCAGCCCTACAGAATCTATTACAAACACAAAATTTCTGTATGAAGTCTCCTATTTCTTAAAAGGTCATGTGAATATTGCATTCTACTGTATAACGTGTCTGTGTTTGATTTTAATATACTAATGACGTTTTAAATTAATTACTATCTGGGGCTCCCGGGTGGCTCCATCGGTTAAGCGCCTGTCTTCAGGTCAGGTCATGATCTCATGGTCTGTGGGTTCGAGCCCCGCGTCGGGCTCTGGGCTGACAGCTCGGAGCCAAGAGCCTGTTTCGGATTCTGCGTCTCTCTCTCTCTCTCTGCCCCTCCCCGCACTAGCACACTCTGTCTCTTTCTCTCTCAAAAATAAACATTAAAAACTTTTTAATAAAAATAATTGATCAATTAATTACCATCCATAACCAAAAAAAAAAAAAAAGTTCCTGTCCTTATTAAGCAAGACACAGTTGAATTGATTTTTTTTCAAGTTTACAAAAACATGGCTGAATTAAGTCGGTTAAGCGTCCGACTTTCGCTTAGGTCATGATCTCGCAGTCCATGGGTTCAAGCCCTGCGTCGGGCTCTGTGCTGACTGCCAGCTCAGAGCCTGGAGCTTATTTCGGAGTCTGTGTCTCCCTCTCTCTCTGACCCTCCCCTGTTCACGCTGTCTCTCTCTCTCTCTCCTAGAAATAAATAAAAAATATTTTAAAAATAAAAACATGGCTGAACTAGAGAGAATTTGTGTCCATTTGTGCATCCATGTTGGCATCTAGGCAGCCTCTCTCTCTGCTTAAGTCCCACACTGTTTAAAAACCCCAACTATGTGCCTACGTGGACGGAAACATCATCAAGTTATTTGGCTGCTTCATGAGCTTCTCCAGGCACTGGCGAGAAGGATGCAGCCAAATACGCAGAGGGTGACTCTTGGTGACCACGATTCTCACTAAGCAGTACTGTCACCTCAGTCTGACCTCTGATCTGCCAGCCAGCATATTTACCGCCTCAGGAAGATACTTGTCAGTGGACTTTTCCACTAAGAAAGCAACTGCTGATGTGCTTTACCTTTCCATTAATGCTGTAATTTCATCCCAGGTAAATCAACCAGTCAGGGAGGACTCACGAGAGCCCCCACGCCCCACCCCACCCAGCAGTGTCATCTGTTGTGACATTTACGGTGCGCCTTTTAACATGAAAGCAGGCACAGCGTGACTCCGCAGTGGTGACCGGGAGCACTCAGACACAGGAGAAAATAGCTTCTAAATAAAAACTCCATAAACTATATTTGCCATTAGTGAGAACAATTCCTCATTCGATTTTTCTGAGTTTTCCCTTTGGTCTAGGTGCTTTTTCCTTCCATGAAGAAAAATAACCATGCACCCCCACCCACATTAGCAAACCCTGACCACACCCTCTCTCCAGGGAGGCAGCCTGCCTGGTGGAGGCCGCAGCTTCAAAAGGACTTTCCATGCCATCACAAACAGAAAAATAAGGATATAGGTCCCCCCGGCTCACTAAAGCAGTTGCCGTGGACCCCACTTCAGCCATCTCTTGGAAGGTCACTGCTTGTAAAGGAGTCTTGACTGCTGGAAACTTCCAGGTGAACAGGTAGGAATCCCAGCCTCAGGACCTCACCCCCACGCTGGGAGCTTCCCCCTCTGCCTTTCAGTCTGACGCATCCTGCCTCTGTGGGCCCTCATTGGCTTTCTCCCCGCTCCCCCAGAATACCTCCATTCTCCCACTGAATCTAAAAGGAGCCATCCTCCAGGCAAAAAAACAAAACAAAACAAACAAACAAAAAAAAAAAAAAAAAAAAACAGTGGAGAAGGGTACCCTGCTCACCTCCTGACTTAAATCATCTTAAGTTACCTCCCACCATTAGACCGTGGCCCCTGCTGCGTTCATCTGCTGTGTTTGCGTGTCTCTGTGCAAGTACGAGTGTGTGCGCATGTGGTGTACATATGTGCATGTAAGCACGCACCTGTGCGGTATGTATGCGTGCTCACACTTACCCAAGGCTGGCTCATGCCCCTCGAACAGAGAGGCTGGAAGGAAGAGCTCATGGTTCGCTACAGAAGGATTTCAGTTACAGTCCTGGACTTGCTGCCGGGCATCAGTTTCTTTCCACTTTTCACAGGACGTAAGTCGTTCTTACATGTCAAGAGTAGTGCTATCATCTGTGCCTGTGCCTGACATTGCACACCTTTTCCAAAGAAGGGCTACTCCTGACCTAAATCCAGGTCCTTCTCAAGGCACCCTTAGGGGACGGCAGGGATGAGCGGATGCTCACTGCTGTTTCGTTGCTTGGTCTTTCATACTGTTGCTTTCCTCACATTATCCCGCACCTCGGGGTGCGAGGTGGGGAGCAATTACTCTAACTGACCTGCTGAAGGTCCCTTATCTGCCCCTTGGCTAAGGCGACAGGGGTCACTTAATTGTCAGACCCTCTGATAATACACCCAGCAGTGTCCTTCCCCCAAAAGAAGGCAGGGCTCCTGCGCCAAAGAAATTAATGATGACTACCTCCGCCAAGTGGGCGGGGCAGATCCTCGAGCCCCCAGGGCTGTCATGGCCTTTGAGCCATGCTCACCATTCCAGCCTCCCCTGCTGTGAGAGGATGTGCATTCCTCCATCGCCACAGCCTCCTCGTCAAAAACGAGATGCTTTCCTCGCCATGAAATATTACAGGTGAGCAGACGCTGTGTCCTTAAATCAGGACATTTGTCAAAGAGCTTTGACAGGTCCTTGTCAATAAAGACAAAAAATGCAGAACAGGGCCAGGAGGGAATGACGACACGTGTTGTTCTTTCCACTCAACGTTTCTCTTGAAGTGAACATTTTTTCCCCCTTGTTACTGAGAATTTATGAGGCTCCTCAGTGTTTCATCTTCTGCTTCAGCTTTGATCTAGAACCCAAGTTCCCAGAAGGGACCTATCCAAATCAGAAAGGATCCAAATCAAAAGCAAGGAAACGTTCGATGTTCCCTGTGGCAGGGGAGCTTTGCCAGCAGACAGACCTGGCTCCGGGGCCCCACCCCTCCGTTTGCTGTTTCACAACATCAGACAAGTAATCGCAGCCTCCACGTCCTCTGTAAAGTGAGAGCAAGTCGGTGCCCATGCTCTCTGGGCTATTGTGAAGCTTCCGCTTCATAACGCCTACTGGTCACTATCTGTCCAGCCCCGCCTCCGTGGTACTTCATGAACTTCCATTAGCTCCGTAGTGAATGCACTAGGCTTCTGTGACATGTTTCTATGTCTTATAATGACTTCCCACGGTGGCTTAATCCCCATTGAACAGATGAGCAAACCGAGGCTCGGAGAAATCAAGTCACCCTCCCTCCCTGACATTTCTCAAGCTGGAGAGCTCTCCCAGATTCCTGTGGCCGCCTAAGCAATTGGAAATAACATCAGCTGCTTTGAGTTTTCCAAAACATGAACCTCAGGTGGGCCCCGAAGGGCCAGAGGTGCGGCTTCCCGCAGCCAGGTGCAGGCCAGAGCTGGCAGAACACCCCGTCAGTCGCACCCTGTGCCCTACGACTGTTTCTACAATCGTCTTCCATGGGCGTCAAGACATTTAACGGTGGGAAAACACCAAGCCAGAATGCAGAGGAGGTCCCAACGGGCAAAACGGGGGCTCCAGCTCACTGAGTCATCCGGAAGTCTGCCCGATGGTGCTCCACTAGTGGCTTCTCGGAGACTGTCCCGAGTCCCACTTGGAGGACCCTCATCTGCTTTTCCAAAGAGCAAATGTCCTGGGCGGCTGACACCAGCTTCCCCCGCCCCTCCTGTAATCTGTCCCTCCGAGGCTAGACGACTTACATCCAGATGTGGGAAAATGAAAGAGACCAGGAGAGAGGAGGAAGGTTATCGGGG